ATGCAGAGGCAACCAAAATCGATTGCTCTGATACCATGCCAAATATAGTGTAATTGAGAGAGTTGAGAATGTAGAACAAGATAGGTTTTGCAGAGAATTCAAATCTGCCAAATTGAATTACTTACTTGGTGAAGGGTTAGATATACAAGTATACAAGGTGATTATTAGTTACAAACAATGCACAAGACATGGAGGGAAACATGGAGAGTTTCCATCCCTAAAACAAGGAAGAAGAAAACAAGGAAAAGTAACAAGGTGGTAGACAAGCCATTTAGGGATGTCTATGTTTTGTCTTTGTCTTTACTAACATTATTACCCGTGAATGCTACATCGATAACATCTGTACTCTATGATCATACCTGAATTGGACAAAGATAAGCTTGGCTCTGAATACATGTCTTTACAGGTCCCCAAATACCCTAGAAATAGCTCCCAACAGAAAATTATCTTTACAGAGACAACTGGACGCATTATTCCTTCTCCAAATGCCCCAGAATTAGCTCCACACGGAAACTCCCTCCAAACTACATTGACAGATTAATGAATTAACTCCCCACAGAAACTCCTTCCAAATTACATTGTAGAAATAGTTCACAATCTATGCAAAACATTATAAACGCATAATATTATATACATGCACTAAATACCAGAAACCTTGATTTCTGTTCTTTTTCTATTGAAAAATAAAATAAAAACAACAATTGTGTTTTCAATTGCTACAAATTCCAAACATATACAGTTTTCTATTGACAAAACATTTCGACGGTTATAAAAGAAAAATCAAGATTTAACGGTTATTTCAACTCTGATTTTGATGATTTTTTACAGCTACACTCCTTGACCCTATATGAATACAATGACTGCATTCGATCATCAATTTAAAATATTTACACTAGTGGATACCACAAAATCTTATGTTATATTTAATGAAAGTATAAATAAACTCTTAATTGTTAGTGAATATATTGTTTTGATGGCATACACATTCTATGAAACTAGTTTCAACGATCCAACCATCAAACTTGTTTGTTTACACATCGAGATCATATACGCCAAAAATTGGGAAATTTTTTTTTTCAGAGATCAAGTAACGGGACAAAACATTTTGACGGTTATAAATGAAAAATCAAGATTTAATGGTTATTTCAACTCTAATTTTGATGATTTTTTACAGCTACACTCCTTGAACCTATATGAATACAATGACTCAATTTGACCTTCTATTTAAAATATTTACACTAGTGGATACCACAAAATCTTATGCTATAATTAATAAAAGTATAAATAAACTCTTAATTGTTACTGAATATATTGTTTTGATGGCATACGCATTCTACAAAACTAGTTTCAATGATTATGTATTCTATGAAACTAGTTTCAACGATCCAACCGTCAAATTTGTTTGTTTATACTTCGAGATCGTATACCCTAAAAATTGGAAAAAATAAACATTCAGAGATCACGTAATGAGACAAAACTTTTCGATGGTTATGAACAAAAATCACGATTTAATGGTTATTTTAACTCCGATTTTGATGATTTTTTACAGCTACCCTCCTTGAACCTATATGTATACAATGACTCAATTTGACCTTCTATTTAAAATATTTACACTAGTGGATACCACAAAATCTTATGCTATAATTAATAAAAGTATAAATAAACTCTTAATTGTTAGTGAATATATTGTTTTGATGGCATACACATTCTACGAAACTAGTTTCAACGATCCAACCATCAAACTTGTTTGTTTACACATCGAGATCATATACGCCAAAAATCGGGAATTTTTTTTTTTCAGAGATCAAGTAATGGGACAAAACATTTTGACGGTTATAAACGAACAATCAAGATTTAATGGTTATTTCAACTTTGATTTTGATGATTTTTTACAGCTACACTCCTTGACCCTATATAAATACAATGA